CTCTTGCCCGGAAGTCGTACTTTCGACCACTCGGCCAATGGGGCAGTCGAGGCAGTGTGTACATACATATACTTTAGAAGTCACTGCGAGACTTCGAAACTCGTTCAGTTTAAAACTAGCGAGTATTTCGTTTACTGTATACGAAGTTTCTACTCCTTAGAACAGTTTTAGTCGAGATTGCAAAACTTGAGTGCATTTTGGAACCATTTTCATTATACAGTGTAATGTAAGTAAATCTTTCTGAAAGTATATCGTATTTGAGTTTTTGTTTTCGTAGCTTAATAGCTTTCACTTAACAGGAAAAGGATAAGCCATCAGCGATAGTAACCATTTAATTTTGCATAAAATTTTAGAGCCTTTAAAAACGTTTCGAGCTTTAATGAGAAGTTAACAAGAGTCTCATTACGGACAAACTGCTCTGCTCCTGAAAAACTTATAGGTAATATGTTGCTTATGGGACGACGTGGTCCATCGTAGACCGCATCATCGCTTATCATGCGAAATAGTGGTCAATCGTCGGCCCATCAAATATAAAAAAATACCTATCAAACACAAATAGGCATCTTTATGTGATGTAACTATCTGAGTATGCCTAGAACCACCACTATCATTCAGTGCTCCATTCACCCAAAGGTTGACTGGATCGCTTTTAGTGATTTAAGTCCGCCTTTGTGCCCTACTATTCTTTAAGGTGTACAATAAAGATTATTATTATCATCTTTAGATATCTAAAGAATCCTAAAAACTAAAGAAACATCACAAACAGGATGTAGGACCATTTCCCAAACAATTTATTTGATATCAACAATGGTACGAATGCGGTTACTTATCAAGCTAAACACAGCCAATTTATTCTGGTCCCGCTTTGTATGATCATTCCGCAAATTCGACGGTCAGTTTATACTGGTAACGCATAGCTTGATGTGAACAACATCGAATGGAGTTATAACAAAAAGGCAATTGAAGGGGTCAGTGACCTGGCATGACACAATATATAAGCAACAATTATAACGTTGTTTTCTTGTATTCTTAGTAGTTACAAAACAATTATTATATTTGTGTTGAGAAGACAACAATTTGTTCAAATTAAAGTTTTTAATAATGAAAATTCTTATGTTTAATAATTGGTGACAATCATATAAAAGGCTTTCGGTTTCACACACGGTTCTTATAGTTTTTGGTTTCATATGTGCGTAAGAGTAACAAGAAGTTAACAATGATGAAATATTCCAAGAGCAATCTTGTCAAATCGTAGTTTTTTCGTAGTGTTATTGTTCCACAACTCATTAAAATAATTCTCGCTACCCACAAACAATTTCGCTACCCAGATCACAGAGAAATACAACAAAACTATTGGATTTTTGTAGAACCCGTATCAAAGAGTGTCAAGTGGAACTTTAACTAAGCCTACTACACTACACAGCCGTCTGTCTGTCAGGAACACAGAGGCTTGTCAAAACTCAAAGCCTACTATGAAATGTACAAAAGGTAGGCAAAAAAACTGTTGAAATTTCATCCACTGGTAACACGCTTAACTCGTCGAGTACCGTCATTATAGACACAATTATAGAACAATAGGTTGCGGTCACCGGTGACCGCTTGGTGTTTGACAGTTTAATTCTATGTTTTGACGAGCTTGTAACGTCGAGATTATGGCAAATCTTCACATTTTGAGAAGAATCTACAGTGCACTGTCATATGCAGTTGATGATGATGACGTTGACGCACTTAACCGCTTGAATGCGATATGTGACACAATAGAAAAATATTGTGCCTCGCGTGGACCCACGTTTAGACACACGACGGGTTAATGATCAGAGGCCTTAGTACGAGTTTGTTATACGTTTAAAGTAATCGTAACGAGTACGCGTTCGACGCTTTGATTGGTTGCTTCATTGGCGCCGACCAATCAGAGTGCCGAACGCGTAATCGTTTCGAATGCTTTAAACGTATAACAAACTCGTACTAAGGCCTCAGTTACTACGAGCATATAACGCCTTCTATTCATCTCAGGACCTTAATAAGTAAAGTATTTGTCCTTCTCATATTTTCGGTCGTATCTTATAATCATACTTGTTACATATTTGTTTCTCTTTCTTCACCGAATTATCCAAAAGTTTATTCTTAAACAAAAATCCGTAGATAATTCACATCCCAAAGCTAATTCACATGAAGAAACTTGCATAAATCCTTTTGATACATATTCACTAACTTGGCTTGTACATCAAAGATGAACCAACCCTCGTGAAAATCCAATATTTATTCAAACGACCCTTGAAACATGAAAATTCAAAAAGTTTGATGCTAACACCCATTCGCTTGGGATTAATTACAAGTTCCTTTTGCTATTTGCTTTAAAAGAGTGTTTTAGAAAATCCTGCTATTTTATTCTCTTTCATTCCTTTCCTATTATTTCAAATTCTCTAAAATTACATTTTTAGACATTACTCAGAATATAAAAAATAATATTTAATAATATAGAAATAGCAGCTGAACAGTAGCGGGATCAATGATCCAAGCTATCGACGGTTAGGGCTCGCGAGACATGTATGTTATTGTTATTAATATATTTTTATTGCGATCTATAAGTACTAAATAGTAACAAAACTTAATATATTATTTACTAATAATTTCTTTGGTAACACTGCATACCAATTTCGTCTTAAACCTAAACATAGACCGTCTAACGTACGTGTTATGAAAAGCCATTAAAAAATAATAAAACTATCAACATATAAGTAGTATTTAGTAGACAATGGTTTGACCATTTCACGTTTTAAGTATCTTACATTCATGGCGATCCGTAAAATGGACGGAGGCTAGAGGGTGGCCGCGAACAGGCGATCTTATCCCACCAAATTCCCAACTAAATATAAACTATCAAATCCTTTATAACTTAACAAAAATACTGCTGCACTAGTGTTGCATATTTAATCATATTTCCTACTCGCGTATCGTTTTAATCTTTCCGTCTTTCCTTTAAGCCCATCACTAACATATTCAAGAGCTACGAGTGCATGGAACTTGATATAAATTCCGACAGCGTACAGCCAACGTCGGGTAGATTCCTTGTATGTGAGTCGGTGCCATATTAGATGCGTTAGGCGTAGTAGACGAATTTTAGATATCCTGTGGTTTAGTTTTAGAGTGATTACAGTCAAATATTTACGTTAGACTTACAGAAGTAATATTGTTTGTTACAGCTTCATTTAGCAACAGAACTAGTTAACACCATAATATATCATGTGTAATTTTACAAGATTATATTGATAATGTAAATAGTGTAACATTTACACATTCATTGATAACTAAATTCAAACAAAAACAACACTATAATATGAACGAAGGTCACACAAATTCCTATACACCCAAAAATCACTTTAAATCAATGAATACGCATACTTAAACTTGTATAGAGTATAGTCTATGGCTACTTAGACACGTCAATGTCATAGACACCATAATGGGAGGAGTATTCGGTCATCCATGCATATTTATATTCCGCGCCCGCGCACCGTAAGTTTATAATCAGTTAAAGCCGTTACTGTGAACAATGGCGGTCTAAAACGTTTTGCTGTTAACTGCTAATTAAATTAGAAAGTTCTAGTTTAAGTACTTAAGTAAGATTTACTTAATATAAACCTAAGTTATATTAAGTTATGATCGATTTTCCTATCAATGTCCTGTCAATAGTTTTATCAGGAGAATCATTGGAAATTAAACTTAAAACGTATTAGTAAATAAGGTTCAAAACAGAACACCTATTAGACATCTATTAGAACTTGGTGCTTCGGAAAGAAATTCGAGCTACTTAAGAAAACTTAATTTGCAGTCTAACCACGCTTCAGTTAAAACCTCTCAAAACATAATGTACGTGTGCAAATCTTGAGAAATATAAATATTACATTTTGAAGACTACATTCGGCCTACATCCGAGGCTTTACAGGGCTTTCGTGACGTGACCAGGGTTCAGAATCCGCAACCCTTTCTTATAAGTACATGAAAATACACAAATACTCAAACATGTAGTCTGGTAACACATCTGCCCTTGAGCAGTTCGTACCGGATTACATTCGTTTCCAAAAAGTCAAAGAAAAAGAGATTTTCTGCCTTACACAAAAAGGCACGAACTTAGCCTGAAGCCCATCTTCATAACACGAAACGAGGGGTTATTTAACAACGTTAATTATAACCAAAGTAAATGTTAGATATTGGGACAACTCGTTATTTACTTCAAAGATACATTGAGATAATTCTGATCGTACATCATTTTGATGTCAATTCGTTTCCGATACGTACTTTATCTTTCATCCGATATCTTGGATTGTAAATGAGAATAAAAATGGATGTATGAGTGAGTACAAACGGTTTATAGGCAATCAGAGGCGTTGGGAAGAATACAAATATTGTAATACGAATTTAGACTCGACTGTATACAGTTTGAAAAGTGGAAATATAATGAAAAATGTTCAAGTTCCAGAACTTGTATATTGTATAGATTCGGGGCACGTTCCAACTTCGGAGCTCCAGGGTAAAATCTTGGCGATTTAACTCTCCAGCGATAAATAAAATTTGTGAATTACAATTCTACAATTAGAACTTTACTCTAACAGTGTTAATTTGGCAAAACTGCCATGAAATCGTTCGGATTACGACCTTTTGTGTAAAATAGAAGGTACTTGTATTAAAAACGAAATGGTTTTTGTCATTAATGTTAGTGGGTATGAATGAATCATTTTCAATAATTTACCGCGGTAGTCACAGAATTGTGTTGTGACATAAAATAACTTACCTGCCTTACCAACAATTACAACTTAATGAATATTTCATTACAATGCAAATTCGAATGACACTGTTCCATTGAACCCAAACCCGAATATACGATAGGTAAGTACCTACTTAATTATAAAATGTAAATAAAAATAAAGAGCATGTCACCGGCCGACCTTGTTGCAGACAAGACGGTAGAATACTAAAGACAAAATAATAAATAAACATACAAATAATAATACCGGTGATCCGTGCGACACTCAACACAAACTACCCTCAAGATCAATCTCCTTCAAAGATTGACTGAGATATTTTCACTGCACACAAAAATCACAGTACACTGAAAGATTTTTAGTCGATTTGTCTTATATTGGCACAATAATTCACGAGCACGTGAATTTTTGAATTCGTTACGTAGGTGGTGACGTTCGGCGCGACGGGAGACCGAACCGAGACTGGCGACGAGGCGGCCGGCTTACGGCTAATTCACGCGGTGTATCTGTGAAGCCACGCCCTTATGTTTTGATGCTGCATTGCCTGATATCAACGTAATGCAGTAAAGCATTTGTAAATAAACATGTAAGCAGTAAGCACGCTTGTCGCTGCCAGGAGATTTATATCACCTACACGACGCGGCATAAATATCATCCGCGTAAAAGGCCTGATTTATTGTTCTTGCTTTAAAATATTGCACGCAATTAATTTAAAGAGATAAATGAACGGATTAAACATTGGTTGGAGTTCATCTTTTTTCTTTTTACATATAAATAACACATCCGATGCAAATATTTACATTCCCATCTGACCAGGTTTGAGTCCTGAGATAAGGCCATAATGTAATGCAGTAAAACATATGTAAACAAGTAACTTGTGGGCTAATCATCAGCGTATCGTTCATCGACCATTATGTGGACATAAGGCTGCGCTAGACGAAAGAGCAGACCAGTATAACTTGAACCTAAGTTTCATTAAGTTATGTGTGTGTGGGAAGTTCAGTTGATACTGGATATACTTGTTCAATTTGCTATAGTCAGTACTTCTAAAGTGAGCAGGTGTGATAATGACACTGAATAATGAATGGGAATTTGAATTAATGCTGTTTGCAACGGTTATTGTCGATACTGTTTAGTACGGTTGCGTGTGGGCTGTCGGTATGTGCAAACAAGGAATTTTGTAGGCGATCGTAAATAAATTCCATAATCAGGATCGTTTATTTTCCGTCATCTGCTAATAACTGCCACCTAACTATAAGCTGCACATTTTGCGTCACCAGTAAATATTATAAAGCCACAATTTCACATAGAAAACACTCGCGTCACGTACAAAGCTAACTTAAGTCTCGCAATCTAATGAACGTACCTCCCAGGAACACAAGCAGGCAACTTAATCTCATTTTGTAAGTAACGCCTAATTATTCTCCACTTCAGACTAATGGCACACATGCCGCAATCAAAGAGAGTTAGCTAGAGAGGTTTGTTCAAAACCTTTGTTATTCACTATCATAATAAACTTGATAGAAACACGAGGCTCTTGATTAAAACCCTAATAAATAAAGACTATCTAAAAGTTCCAGAAATGGAATTAAAAGGTAAACTTTGGATAAGTCTTTAAATAAAACGATAACTTTTCAAGTTAATAAGGATTTTGTATTCATTGAAGAAGCGAAAAGTGGGTTAGGTTTAGATAAACTAGTGCTTAAACAAACCATTTCGGAGATTAACAAATATTCAGAACTAAATTGTGACCCTTTGAGTACCGTCATTATAGACACAATTAATAGGTGACCGCATCACCGGTGTCCTCGCGGTGTTTGACAATTTTAAAAAACTAATTATAAAATTGGACGATTCTATTTATGGTCCCGATAACGTTTGCATAGAAGAAAAAGTTAATAAATGACACTATACCTTTAAAGAAAATAATTCCTACAAAGCCAGGGCAAGCGGCTTGTTATATTCATATTTCTGAGAATTCAAAAATCTGTTATACAACAGCAGTGGTCTAGAAACGTCAGTTGCAAATTCCAACGTCCAACTTCGACTATAAGAAACAAAACAGTTGTAGCAAACTTGCAAGTTTCGTTCCAGTAAATATTTTATATCCCTGGGGTATCTGGGTTCTAATAAACCCAGCGTTCCTATATGGGTAGCTTTGAGAATACATTTATGACCAATGAAATGCTGGAATTACGATTCCATGAAATGAAAAGGCTTTGGATATCCCATGGGGATTACGCTTGAAAGAAATAGCGCTCGTTGTTCTGATGAATAGCAAGAAAATCATGAGGAACTGACAGAGGTCTGAGCTCAAAGTCACCAGGGTAAAGACTTAAGTAGAACTCATTATGTTCAAAATCCCTCTCACTGACACAGAAAGACCAAAAGTCAAAATTAGTCCAAATGAGGACAAAAGACTCACCGAATTTCAACTGCAGAATCTGTAATCTGCGTATCTGTATACGTATTCAGAATTTACAAAAGCGGTTCCCGATTCACTAGCACGGAATAATGACGTTAAATGATGTCCATTTGTAACGAGACCACAGTTAAGTCCAGTGTGATGCACAGACACCAATATACATTAGCACCTGAGCTCGCCGCGACCTAATTCCGTTGTGTGCATTGTATAATAATGTGGCATATTTAGTACGGACATGCGAAGTTCTGGTTCAAACACGTCAGTTTGAACTGGTTTTCTTTGTATAAATGGCTGTTTGTCTTCATATATTTGCACTGATAGATACGTTATGCCATATGGAATTTCACTCGGACGTTTGCTATCAAAAAGGCCTGAGCCAAATCCAAAAAGAGCATTTATTTTTATCAATAAATTGTATACATGATTTCGTTGCAAATACACACAAACAGATCCTGTCAAAACAGTCTCACTGTAACATCAACAAAAAATTATTCATCTGCATTGCGTGGGCAGGCCATTTTTTCCACAAAAGATTACGTTCCGATAATCGGTCGATGGAGCACCAAAACGATACATATTAAAATATGGACAGGCTTTTTCCGCACACGAACAAACAACGGAAGAATTTATAGAACATTCAGGCAGACCCGAAGCGAGTCAAATCGATTCTTCGTGTACGAGTACTCGTGGTACGCTTCCGAAATGTTTTTCAATCGAGTGCTAACTCGCACTAAAATTAGCACGGCAACAACATTGTGTAAGTGAGAATCAAATTGTTAATCGACATAACAGTGTTATGCCAACATTCAATAAATTTAATGTTATGTTTAACTTGAATGTTGAGGTTAAGATCAAAGGGAACACTGAATATAATAATGTACCTTAAATCTATACAACGGAAATCGATTATCGAAGAGCTATTTATGAAGAAAACTAATCGGATAAACTTTGTAATAACGTTTTCTCGACCACCTTTTCTTAATTGAACTACTATTTCCAGGTCCTTAATCTAACTTTTCCAACGTTTACCTTAGCAGGCAATCTTGCTGTGCCAGCTAGCGGAGATTTACGCCCCCTTTTCCCAAAGGCATTGACCAATAAAAATGGCGGGATTCAATTTGAACAGGGCATCGAACCGGCACTGGTGGCCAGGAACGAGGGTTTACTAATCGACCACGTTTGTTCACACAGGAGGTGATTTGATTAGAAATTGTCGGTATGTGATTTGATTAACAAAGCTAAATAATATTACATCTGAGAAACTAAAGGATATATAGACACTATTTATAAGTTCTTCTCGTTTTCAACAACATTCATTACCTAGAAATTACGATTATCTATAAATCGTTTAGAAAAATGCTTACTCATTCAATCTTCGATATCGTGGAAATCCCTATTATAACTCGACCACATAATGTGTTAACAAAAAACCGTCAGATAAAAGGCAAAAAAAAATATACGTAATACTTATGTGATCATAGTCAACTATGGAAGAAACTACATATTCAAAAAATACTAGAAAGACGCATTTCCTAATAACACAAACAAAAATAATACAAGTAAATGCATATACAATTCTGCAGAAAAGAGCTATAATCTGATATTTTAAAGATACAGAATCTAATCTTTATGATATTGTATCATTATCATTCAGTGAATATTCATCATTGCAGGCAGATCTTTTAGTATAACCAGCAGCACGTCAATCTAACCTGAACGGTCAAACGGATAAAATAAATACAACGTTATTGCTTTAAGTTTTGGTCGACAATCAATTGACAGATAAGAATGCGTCAGTCTGTACATTGATATGAATATGAACTTAAAATTTTCCTGGCATCAAAGTATACGAAGAAAGTTATGATAAAAGAACTTGATATAAACTCGTTTTTTGTCAAACCCATCAGAGCGTAAATAATAAACAGAAATGGAAAATAATATGAAAATATGAGAAAAACAAACAATTTACGAAAACGTGATGTTTTCAAGATACTATATTTTATTACGTTACCATAATACCTATATTTGGCTTTGGCACATCTCATTTCGAATTATATTAAGGTAACTTGATATTTGTTGCCATTTCGGCTGACGCAAAAACAATACCTAATAACTATGTTTTTGATTTAACTCGTCAAGTACCGTCATTATAGACACAATTATAGAACAATAGGTTGCGGTCACCGGTGACCGCTTGGTGTTTGACAGTTTAAAACCACAATTACCTGGTGGTGTCTGCAACAATATACGAGGCTTTTAATTATTAGCCATTAGTTTCTGGCGGTAACTTTGTCGTGTTAGAATAAAGGTAGTTTAGCAGTGATCCTTGCATAAAAGAGTAAAAAACTATCGCTCCATCCATCTTTAAAAACTTTCGCATTTTGCTCGATTTGTTTGCCAATCTTTTATCTCATGTCTTATATGAAACATTAATAGCCACTCTTGATTCTTCTCTGCACTCAACAGTAATTCAAGTATGTCCATCAAATAGATGCGTATATCCTGAACATGGATCACGAGGCTGCCTCATGAGTACTCTCTTCAGTGGATAATTGAGCCTGTCCGGTGCGACTGGCCTTGACAGTAGCTAGTTTAACATCCACAATCCAAGATGGGAGACGATGATGACGTAAGGAAAAAAATTCGCGGTCCGTACATTATTCCAAGAGAATATTTGGAGATGTAAGTCATGGTTAACTACTGTTTACTTAATGAAACTTAATACTAAATTTAAGAGATAAAACAGGTGGATTATTTGTATTCAATACGTATTTTATAGTCCGTAAAATCCATATTAAACTGACAATATTAGGCATTCGAAGTTAAATTGCTGATCCTAAGATTGCAATGTCCAATTACAACGTCCACTTAGATTATTATCAAAATCAAACCAATAATACTAATTTAGATTCTATCTTAACAAATTAATTTCATATTTCTGTGCAGTTCGCACTTCACCCACACACGTAGGAGCTTCTATTCTTAGAGCGGGACCCTCCTAACCTTGATATGTTAGTTAAGAGTGACGTTAGGGCGTTATAGATACGTAACACGACAGGGAACATGAATCAAATGCGCCAGAACCTTCATTACATAACGGAGTCACACTTCATACAGAACCAAGTACGAAATTGAGGAGACTTGATTTCACAAAGGCAAAAGCATCTATCATCAAGCACCCTCATTTGAATTTGAAAGATGAAATCAATAGGGGTATTGAATTTCAATTGGATGCTGCCGTTACAATCCAAACAAATGCAGAAAAAACGCCTCCAGATCAGTGATCTGTGCAAACCCTAAATCCAATTGAACATAAAAATTCTCGACTATTTCAAGCGAAGAATCAAAGGAACGTTTGTTCAAAGATTTGCACCGCGTCTGAAAGGTCTGACA